CCTGTATCTTGGCTAGGAACCTACATGAGCAGTCAGACCTGGCTGTCTGTTCTTCCCAGCAGATGTCTGGGAAGTTTGGATCAGCCATGATGACCACATCGTTTGACCTAACTGCCTCCGTGAGCTGACTTAAGAATTCCCTTCTCTTATAAATATGAGTTCAGTAAAATTGAAGTGTGGTTGCCCAGGGGGGGCAGAGAGTATTTGGCCCCACATTTTTGGGTTCCCAGGGGCTGGGGGAACATAATGAGGGGCCATAGTTAATTAGGGAATGAGGACATAGCTGGCTGTTAGAAAGACGGCTGTTAATGAACAAGCAGTGCAAGGGAACTTATTGATAAAAAATGCCAACAAAGGGGGGAAAAAGGCATGCAGAGTGAGATGCTTGAAAGACTGACCAGGCCCATATCACAGAATGCTTGGTGTCCACGCATTGCATTGACCTGGCTCACATAGTACTTGATTGTCCAGGTATACTTTTGAACTGTTACAGACAGCTTTAAACTAGTTTAACAGGCTTGTACATATATCTGTTTCAGACTTAAACTGCATTTAATGAGTCTAAGTATTATGCATATCCATACCCAAAATAGAACTCTTCCGTAAATCTATCCTGTGTTCTATGTAAGCAGCAACATTATCTTCCCACTGAGTCAGAGTTTTGCTTAAATATAACAGGTTATCTGGCTAGTATGTTTAAGGCATTCCAGTTTCTATAGACGATGGCATACAAGGTATAGATGTAGTTAACTTCATTTTTGGCTAATGTTGACTGCAAAGCCGGAATGACCAAGTACCCATTTACAGCTGAGTTGACTGGGGCCAAACTGTGCCATTAAGAAAATCAGCTATTTTTCTCTGATCTCTAGCCAATTTCTAATCTAAGATAATGTTTTTCTTTTTAGCTCACAACTGCTTAGGTTCCTTAATATAGGTCCTTAATAATGATTTTTGATACAGAACCCTTCAAGAGCTTTTTATTTGTTTAGACAAATTATATGAAGCTGTTCTCTGCTCTGCTATTGTTGACACGCACAAAGAATTGCAGTATATTAAAATGTATGATTTTCCTTTTCTGAAGCTATGCTTGTTAGGGCCCCATCAGATCATGTTAATGAAGATGGGCAATAGTTGTAAATTCAAAAGCTTTACTTGGTCCTAAAATGAAGATCACTGTTCAGAAATCCTCATGACCAACTCTAACAGTTTAATTAAAGATAAGCAATTTGTTATCGTCCAGCCTTCTGCTTTAATAGCTGAGTTTAGAAAGATCGCAGTTTCTGACAACAATTCAGGGGTGTGGGTTGTAGCTGTGTTGGTTTAAGGATGTAAGCAGACAAGGTTCTTTGGGTAAATCTGGTATCTTTTATTAGATCAATTCAACTATTTGAGTTTCCAACTAATTTCCAACTATTTGAGTTGGTCTAATAAGAGATATTGGATTTACCCAAAGAACCTTGTCTGCCTGTTAATAATTCAGCCATGTCATTCTTATGATTCTTCAGAACTCTTAAAACTTTATCATCTGGTCCTCATGACTTGTTCTTAGTTTTATCTATTTGCCTGACACCTCTAATCTCTGAAAGTTCTTCCTTTTATTAGCTAATAAGAGTAAGGCCAGAACATACAACTCATCAACAGTCTTGGTGATGAAGTGTGCTGGAACAAAATTATTTTGTTGTTCTGGAGTGACTTTCCTGTCCATAATTGCTCTTACTTTCTAATAGATTCAGCAGACTGACCAGTTCCCTCCCAGTCTTCTGTTTACAGAATTTCTTGTTTGTTTTTATGCTTTTTACTTTTGCTCTCTACATTTTCTCCTGTTAGCCCTGATAATTTCTTTTGCCTTTAATGTTTTTGTCTGTGTACAGGATGATTGTCTGTCTAAACTCATATTTAAAACATAAGATCATCAACTCTTCTGATGCCATCCCTTCCCCTTTTTCTAGTTTCTACTTTCATCTACCTCTTCATTTACTCATTACTGTACTCCATTGACTCTTTTTTCCTCTTCATTTCTTTTTTCATTCACTATTACTTTTATCTTTTTGCTTTCCCCTTTTGCTCTCAATCTCATCTTTTTATTTATTTTTCCCTGCACTTTTCTCATATTGTTTCTGTCTCTGTCCCATTCACCATATTTTTATTGTGTGGGTGTATACAAGAGAGAGGAACAAAAATATATAAAAAGAGGATTGAGGGAGGAGGACTTATAAGTAAGGTGGAGGGACTAGGAGAACAAGCCTGGTATGCATTCAACCCTGTCCAGCAGCACCAAAATTTATCTGTAGGAAGATAAATCCTGAAATGTTTAGGAGTAACTTTACCTGTTATCACTTATCAGTATTGGTTTAATTTGAATTGCATCTCTTTTCCTGAAGGATACTTGTTTGCCTTGAAAAAGCTCTTTAACCTTGCCTAACCAGATCTATGTAGAAACATACATTAATATTTGTCTTCCACTCCCCATCATAAGTAATATAACCTCCATGTAGAATTGCAAGGATTTTAATTTCCTTAGTTTTGACACACTTCCTCATCTTAAAAAAAAATTCCAATTGCCAGGTTTAGTATCACAATCTAATTTTGGCTTGATCTTTCCCTCAAGGATATTGAACTTAATTACATTATCATCACTGTTTCTGATCAGTTCAACTATAGTTAATAAGGTTAATTAACATTAGATAGCAACAAATGCTGCATTATAAGTATAATATTGTTGTATATCTATCTGCATACAATTGCTGATAGATTGCTGTAATGTATCTGCATACAATTATGTTAGGATACCTTTTATTCATAAAATAAGCAACAGGGCATTACATGAGCTCATATTGTCTATATTTAAAGTTATTTATAAAAACCATCTGATGATGGCAATGCCTTACATAACAACAGACAAGTAAAATATCATGCACTAATTAAGATACAGCATGCATCCTGAGTTCCAGCTACACCAAGTTTTCCCTCTTGATAAACTTTTTGCTGACAGTAGAAAATGTAAATTGCTACAATACATAAAAAGTTGCCAATTATTTTGCTTTTCAAACAAAGAGTCAAGCTCTCAGAGAAAGTGGTTGGGCAAAATGCCATTAACAGTTGGAAGAATAACGACTCCAAAAATTGATTTATCTTTTTATAAATAATGGCTACATCCCCAAATGGATTTATAAATTAATTGCTGTCTTATTGGAATAAAAACCTTCTTCCGTGGACATGATTGATATCATCTGTCTAAGTCCTTGCTCTAGACCCCCCTCCTTCTTAGTTAGTCTATCACAGCTGGAGCTTTAATTTACTGATCATATTAACTCTGATTAATAACTAACAATAGCTTCTTCCAATATATCAACAGTCAGCTATTACTGAATGGAACTGGGATTGGTCAAACTTGCTGCCAAGTTATCTGCAACTGAATGAGATGACCTTCAGAACACTCCTGGCACACAGGTAATAAGATTCTGGTAAAGAATGCCTATACTTCCCAATTTTCTATGCTATTTTACAGTATCATGAAGTACATCTTGTGGCAAATTGTGAAGTAAGTTAAAACAATTAAACTAGCAATAAAGTAAGCAATAAAAATTGCTTTTCTGTATTTAGTGTGCACAAAGTCTAACAATGAACAGTTTATAGTTTGCATAAAGACTAAAAGTCTGTTCTTTGTTACCGACCTCCTAATGTTTGTTTGCAGTTGTCCATAAACAGTATTTTAAATAGTAATTAGCCTTTTCAAATCCATGCTGTTCAAATAAGTTTCAACAATGCAACACAGAACTCACAAAATGCTTCCTAAATTAGGTGATGAAAACGTAAATTCAGTGATGCCCTAGCAAAGACTAAATACAGCGCAGAAATATATCAATTTATTTTTTAAAACAACCAGGTACGTTTTAATATTGCTAACAGTTTATTTTTAAAAATATAGTGTTTATTTTTGTAATCCCAGTGCTTAATAAAAGCACAGATATTTAATGGGTGTACTTGGTAGCCGTGTTGGTCTGAGACATTGCCTTTGCAGGTACAATTTATATTCTGTACTTGTGTTATCTCTTATCACTAGTTCACTAGTTCAAGCCAATTTTGAATATGCATGACATTTCAACCCACAGGTGAGCATATGTTACATACAGGTTTCCCTCTGTGCTTCATACACAGAGAATATATGTACAGCCCCCAGCTATGAAGGTTTAATTCTTTAGCTCAAGATGTAGAAATGGCCTGTTAATGACTCATTGTTCTTTACTTCAGGTACTAACAATTATCTGTGAAGTAACAAGCAATTTTAGTGTCTGCTAGGGCTTCCTATTTCACCCGGCCTCCTTCTGCTCTGTCTCCATGCCCCACGCCTGGGACACTCATTTTAATTTTCACTGGCCAGCCAGGACCAGCCTCCAAAATCTGTAACTGTTCCAGTGAATCCGGGACATATGGTCACCCTACTTTTAAGAGAAATATTACTCACTGGTGACTGTTTGTTAAAGGGCCACCTCTGTCTCTGATTCCCAGAGGATATAAGTGCAAAGCCTACAGAGACATGGTTCTTTAATTTTAACTGTCTAGGTGGTCTTCACAGAATATTTTCTTTTTCCTCCTTTTAAGGCTGGGGTGTCATACATACACCCCATGAGCCAGATCCAGTTCATGGAGCCACTGCCAAAAATGAGAGAGAGAGGTGTGCTACAGAAACTGGGACCTCTAGGCCCCAGTGGACATGGCCAACAGCAGCAAGATGGCAAGCAAGGGCTGTGCCAAGACAGCCTCCCTCACCCTGTGGTTTCTGGTCCCACCATCACTTACTCTACTACTACCATCCCCACCTGTCCCACTGCTTCTGCTCCATGCTCTGGGCTAGATCAGGCCTGTGAAGAAGCCCCACAGTCTGGATCTGGATCTGGCTCTGGGCATAGACTGAGTTTGACACCCCTCTTTTAAAGCATTTTTAAGGTGCTTCTGACTTCGTGCCAGATGCTGTATATGCTGGTTTCTTTTGAGCAACAGATTTTTCTCCTTAATAGACAGGGCTCCTTCTATAATTTACTAGTTTTGTACGTATTAAGTTTCCTTTTAGGTATTAGCCCACATAGAGTATAAATGCCAGGTAATTCATGCAAATCAGAGAGATAACCTTTACCTAAAATGGCATTGGCCTGTAGTTTGGCGGGTAAGAAACCAGGTTCTAGACTGAGGCTTCCAGATATTTGTGGATTATTCAGCAGTTGTTGCCTGTGGCATATGGGCTGTTACTGATTGGTACACAACAGTTAAGTTTGATGGCTATGAACCAGAGTGTTAATCTTCAATTCTGCTGCATGTGATTTCCTATTTCAATATAGGAAATGGCAGAACTGTTGTTATTTGAATCGCCATTCTCAAAGTCAGAAATTGAAACTCCTCCAGAGGCAGAGGGAGAAAGTGCAATTTCATTGGAATTTAGATTTTTTTTATATATGCCTCTCTTAGGTTTGCAATCAGAGCATGAATAATATCCGTAAATATTAGGATTAATGGATTCTGTCCATGTTTGTAGACAGAGAAATTGGAGATTATTGTTTCTGAAAATATTGTACATCTTATATTTTCTTAAGATGTAAGTAACAGTTTCTATTTTTGATATTTTCACCTACTAGGAACCCTTGATTCTTTTTTTAATGATTAACCTTACTAGATGTATTCAGCATAGTCATATCATCTTTAAGTTCTCCTATTTCCTATTCAGTTGCCTATTTAAACATTGTGTTAGAACCTAGTTCAAAGACAAAATATTTTTCCTGCCCTGTCTGCTCTTTTCCTGTGTAAAAGGGTTATCTTTGGACAGACAATTATCACCCTTAATTTTGGCCCAATTATAGGTGTGAAATGGTTTTCCAGTCTTCTTCCCCAAGAACAATATTGTTCCCCCATCCAGACTATTATTCTGCAAAAAATAAATACTTCAGTCTTACCAAGAGTTAAGTGATGATGATTCAGAAACAAACAATGCATATTATATTTGTTTTTCTCTTTGATAGTTCCCTACTTTTTCTTAACAATTATTCTCTGTTAAAAACAAAAAGAAAGCTTGTCCTTTTAAAACAAATACACGTTACTCAATGGAAACATCTACATGTTCATTAATGGGCTGTAATCACCATTATTTTGTAATAACGGGTATTAAACAATGCACCGTAATCAGTGCTACTGCGTGTCAGTACAGATTAATGGGTTTTTTGTAACACTTAATGCACATTGGACTAAGTCTACTGCACATTAGCATGGTTTTTGCCAGCTGTGCTAATGCACAGTAGAATTAGTCCAGTGAGCATCAAGCATCTCGTGTAGAAGCACCCACTGGGACCTATAACTCTCTATGGCAGGAATCTAGGATAAGAAGCTGGCTGTTATACTTCTCTTGTTTTGAAGGCATCAGTCTGAGCCAAAGGCATTGGGGGAAGACTGCTCTGAATTGAAAAGGAAGATTCTCTGGGGCTATTGTAGTTCCCCTGTTGACTTAAAATTAAAATAGTCCCCTTGTCCTGGTATTATAATGGTAAATAGGAGCACCTCATTTACCTTCTCTGTACTACTCATTATTTTCTATACCTTTGTTTTGTCATCTCTGATTTGTCTTTTTATCATTTCTCCTTATTTGAAAGCCCTATTTCTCCTTATTCATTCATTGATTGTCTATTCATTTTCCATTTTATTTCTCCTGTATATGCCTTTCTATGATGAGATGAACAAGACTAACTACAGTATTTAAAATGAAGCCATGCCACCAGTTTACAAAACAGGTGTTATATGGTTTTTAATATTATTTTCTATCACTTTCTTTAACAAATGTGAACATCTTATTTCCCTAATCAGTTGTCGTTGTTCGCTAAGGATATATGGTTTCATTGTGCTGTGCACAGCGATGCCTAGGGCTATTTCTTTTTTTATGCTTAAGAAGAAATGCCATCTATTATACACTAAATTAAGTTGCTCTACTGTTTCTTCTGCAAAAAAAGTGGAAAAAGTGGGTAAAATTAGTGTGGAGATTCATTTACAACAGAAGTGCTTCCCCAGCCTAGTGACTGAGTTAGATGAAAGAAACTTTGTTCTAAAGCCTACAAATGGTGGTCAGATTCATTAGCTGGCTATTTCAGTAGTGGAAGACAAAAGACTTTTTCATTAGTGGAAGACAAAAGCCTTCCACTACTGAAAAAGGGGGAATGATTTTTTTCAGACTGTTCCATGCTGGCTCCACCTATGCATTTGAATATTGTCCTACCTACTCTGACACCTAAAATAAAAGTGTATTTAGAACATATTTAACATCAAGATGTGCATGTTTAGTGATGTTACATCAAGTCAATGTTTTTTAAATTTAAGAAGACCATAGGAACCAATCTCTTAAACTAACAAGGGCAGAAAAAAGTAAAGATAAATGTTCATCCTTATTCATAGTTCAAATATTTTGATCTAGTTTTCTTAATGGCAAGAGAAAGGATATGCAGTTCTTCAGTGGCTGGTTTTACATTTTCTTCCCATAATTCTAGCTGTGGGAGTGATGGAAATAGTGTTTGAATAAGTTCACTTATTAATAATTTACAACATTAAGCTAATTTATAGCTAATTTACATATGCTTTTCACGGGTAAGAAAACATTTTACATATGCACACATACAGAGATGTGCTGATTCTTTGCTAATCCATAAATATACAGTACATATTTATACCACCTTAAAGGTATGCTGTTCTGAAAGGAAACTCTCTATTTACAATACACAAAATAAGTGTTCAGAAAAAGAAAAGCTACTGCCTTTAGTAACCATTTAATTCATATATTCCTTAGTTTGTAACTATTGCTTTTTGGTACAGCAAAATGAGCTACTGCTGTTTTGCTAAATGAATATCGTTCACCTATACTAATGTATTCTCCATCATCTTTTTTTAACCTTCATTCGTATAGCTTGTAAGTCTGTACACATAAAGTAGACTTGCTGAAAGAATCTACTTTTTAAAAGCTCCACTAAGAACCAGAATGCTTTACACAATGAGTTAAAAGTCAAGTCTACATATGTATTTTTAGAAAATTCAACCTGCCAATTTGTACATACAGGTTTCCCTCATCAACCACAGGGGTTAGGTTCCTGAAAGTTTCTTTGACTGGCAAAACCATGGTTGGCAAAACTGGCAGGGTTGTGGGGAGCAGGGCCTGTGGGTGGGGGGTGAGGGGCACCAAAAAGGCTGTGGGGGTTGTGGAGAGGGAGTGAGAGGCATGAGCAGGGCCAGAGCATTTGTGGTGGGTATTTTCAGACTCTACCCCCCCACTTCTCTGAAGCGTGGGTACTCAAAACCAGGGCTGGCAAAACCATGGTTGGTGAGGGAAACCAGTAGTTGTGAACAAGTGCAGTGTTTTAATTTTTGTGACATAACCTTGATGATATCATTATGGGAGGATTGAGAGAAATGTAATTGAAGCTGGT